ATTAGAGTGCCCTCGTGTGTCTGCATGCTAGTACTATGGAGGTTTTGACAAAGATTTAATGTTAGAATCACAGAAATGAGAAGGGAATTTAAATATCTCTTTTAAAAAGTTGAACACGTCAGGTCGCATCCTAAGCACAATTTAAAAAACAAAAATGTTTGAAGGTGATCTAAATTGAACATCAAATAATGTCTAAAATGTATAGTTACATTTTAAAGAATGAAAAACCATATCCCTCCTGAGGGTGTATTTCTAGTGTCTTAGAAGCCTAAAATGCCCTTCATTACATTGAATTATCTGAGCTTATACTTCAAGATAACACTAACCTGAGTTTCATCTTTCTCTTATTTCCCTTTATAGTTTTATCACTTGTGGCTTTTCCCCCCTAAACAATATTTCGGGGAGTTCTCTTTTGTGTATATGTGTGTGTGGTACCATGGATTCACTGTGGTATTGAACCCAACAGCTCTTTGCCCCTGAGCTACATCCCCAGCCCTTTTTATTTATTATGTATTTTGAGACAGGGTCTCCCGAAATTGCCTATGCTGACCTAAAACTCACAATCCTCCTGCCTCAGCCTCCAGAGTCTCTGTCACCATGTTTGTCTAAGTTTTTTTTTAAGTCATTTTTTAAATCTTTATTTTCATTTATTTATTTTTTATGTGGTGCTGAGGATTGTACCCATGGCCTCATGAGTGAGAGACAAGCACTCTACCACTGAGCTACAACCCGAGCCCTAACTTTTACAATTTTTAAGGTTTGCATGAATTGAATCCTATTGTATGTATTCCTCTAGGATTTTCTCCTTTTATTCTATCATTTAAAAAAGTAATGTTTCATTAATTCACCTTTTTTTTTTTTGGTACCAGGGGCACTTAACGGCTGAGCCACGTCGCAAGCCCATTTTTGTATTTTATTTAGACACAGGGTCTCACTGAGTTGCTTAGGGCCTACCTAAATTGCTGAGGCTGGCTTTGAAATAGTGATCCTCCTGACTCAGCCTCCAGAGTGGCTGGAATTACAGTCGTGTTCCACCGCACCTGGCTCATTCATTTACTTTCAAATCTTTAAGACAGTCCTTGTATGATAGTCCTTGATAGTTTCTAGTTGTCATGAAGAAATGTTAGAACATTATCCAAAACGTCACCTTGTGCTTATAAGCAACAATTTTTGTAAGGTATATTAGAGAAATTCCCTTTTCTTCGTGTTCTTGCTTGTCAAACATCCTCGTTTTGGCCAATCTAGAAAAAAATGTTGTCTCATTGTGGTTTGAGGTTTGTGAGGTTGGGCATTTTTTCATATCACTTGTGTTTAATCTTCTGCGAATGCCTGTCCATGTCTTTTGTCAATTTTTCTACTAGATTGTCTCTTCTCAATTCATAAGCATTACTTTTTCTTTGAGGGGACTATCTTTTTAGAAAATAGCAAAGTATAGCATTGTGACAGTAAGGAAAACACAAAAATCTGCTCTTTAAAAGTAATTTTAATTCACACAACTATGTAACCACCACTTAGTTTAAAAAACAATATAATGTTGCCAAAGCTCTCCACTTGCCTCTTCCTTATCATAATACTATTTTACTATTTTTAAGGTTTGCATGAATTGAATCCTATCTTCTGAGTCATCATTCTGACTTTTGTGGTAATTATAATTATTTCATTACTTTTTTAGAGTTTTATCATATGAGAATCTTCCTGAACAATTTATTTTAGTATTGCCTGTTTTTGAATATTATAAAAATGGTTTCACACAGTATATTCAGTTCCTTCTCCTTCTCCTTCTCCTTCTTACCAGGGATTGAACCCAGGGGTGCTTAACCACCTAGTCGCAACTCCAGCCCTTTCTTATATTTGAGAAAAAGTTTCACTAAGTTGCTTAGGGCCTCGCTAAGTTGCTGAGATTGGCTTTGAACTTGAGATCCTCCTGCCTCAGCCTTCCAAATTGCTGGGATTACAGGCATATAATCCTGTGGTTTGAGGTTTGTGCAGTTGGGCATTTTTTCATATCACTTGTGTTTAATATTATACATACACACACACACATACACACACACACACACACACCTGGCTCGCAATATATTCGTTTGTCTTTGGTTACTCATATACACCATTATGTTTCTGATTCATGTTGTTTCATGCACCAATAATTTGTAAATTATTGTTCCTTTATAGTATTTCATTATTGTTTTGTAGTTTTGTGATCCCCCCCCCTACCTTTTTACTAGAGATTGAACTTAGGGGTGCTCTACCACTGGGCCACATCCCCAGTAATTTTCATTTTTTATTTTGAGACAAGTTCTTACTATGTTGCAGAAATTGATCTTGAACTTGCAACCCCTCTACCTTAGCTTCTCTGGTCAGTTGCTGGGATTTCAGACCGGCACCAGGCTTATTTAGTAGGTTTTTGTTTTTTGGTACTTGGTATTGAACCTAGGGATGCTTTACCACTGTTTTAGTCAGCTTTTTCACTGCTGTGACCTGACAAGAACAATTTTAGGAGAAAAGTTTATTTGAGGGCTCATGGTTTTAGAGGTCTCAGTCCATAGACTGCCAGCTCCATTCTTCAGGACTGGAGGTGAGGCAGAATGTCATGGCAAAAGAGTGTGGCAGAGGAAAGTGGCTCAGATCATGGCTAGGAAGCAGAGAGAAAGACTCCCCTCACTAGAGACAAAATACATACCACAAAGGCATTACCCCCAATGACTAACCTCTTCCAGCCACACCCTACCCCTTCAGTTACCACTCAGTTAATCCCTATTAGAGGATTAACTCACTGTTTAATTTAATTCACTCATAACCAATAATTTCACCTCTAAGCCTTCTTGCATTGTCTCACACATGAGCTTTGGGGGGACAACTCATGTTCAAACCATAACAACCACTGAGCCACATCCCCAGACCTTTTTTTGTATTTTATTTAGAGACAGGGTCTTGCTCAGTTGCTTAGGGCCTTGCTAAGTTGATGAGGCTGGCTTTGAACTCGCAATCATCCTGCCTCGGCCTCCCAAGCTGCTGCGATTACAGTGTGCACCACTGCCTGGCTTTCATTTTTTATTTTGAGACAAGGTCTCCCTAAATTGCTGAGGACCTTGCTAAATTGCTGAGGATTCTCCTGCCTCAGCCTCCAGAGTTGCTAGAATTACAGGTGTGTACCACCACACCCAGTTTGTTTGGTATAGTATGCCACAGTTGAGTTATTGCACTGCTAATAGACATGTGGCCTGTTTCTAGATTTTTGTTCTTGAGAACTATACTACTAAGCACATTCTTGTAATGTCTCTGGATACACTTGAGCAAGATTATATATATATATATATATATATATATATATATATATATATATATATATATATTTACACACACACACGTGTGTGTATACACACACAAAGGAGAATTGTTAAAAGTATGCATACTTCAACTGTACTAAATAATCCCAACCTACTTCCCAAAGTGGGTATACCAGTTTACATTCTGACCAGCAGTATGTGTGAATTGTTTCATCTATCAACAGTTGCTACTGTCAGAGTTTCTAATTTTATGCCAATTTTTTGGGAATAGTTTTAAACCAATTAATCTCTATGGCTTTAATGTGAACTCCTGATTAATAATGACCCTGAACATCTTATATGTTTATTGGTTTTGGGGACTTCATTTTTAATGCACCAGTTCAATTATATGACCCATTTTCAACTGGGTTGTCTTTTTCTTTAGTTCTTACCTATTCTGGATAGTAGCTTTTGTCCATGACATGGCTCACAAACATCTTCTCCTGCTCTGTGGCTCATGATTTTCTCTCTTATGATGTATTTTGAAGGTTCGATTTTTCTTTTCCAGTTTTTTTATTTTTATTTTTTTAGTTATTATGGAGCTTTATTTATTTTTATATGGTGCTGAGGATAGAACCTAATGCCTCACATGTGCTAGGAAAGACCTTTACCACTGAGCTATACCCCCAGCCCTCTGATTAATGAGTTTTGGAGCATATATTCCTACCCATAGATTATGAAATTTTAGAAATCTGGGAATGGAACCACCATTTGACCCAGCTATCCCTCTCCTTGGACTATACCCAAAGGACTTAAAAACAGCATTCTACAGGGACACAGCCACATCAGTGTTAATAGCAGCACAATTCACAATAGCTAAACCTTGGAACTAACCTACATGCCCTTCAATAGATGAATGGATAAAAAAATATGTCATATATTCACATTGGAATATTACTCAGCAATAAAAGAGAATAAAATCATGACATTTGCAGGTAAATGGATGGAGTTAGAGAAGATAATGCTAAGTGAAGTTAGCCAATCCAAAAAAAAACCACATGCAGAATGTTTTCTTTGACATAAGGAGGCTGATTCATAGTGGGATAGGGAGAGAGAGCATGGGAGGAATAGACAAACTCTAGATAGGGCAGAGGGTTTGGAGGGAAAGGGAGGGGGCATGGGGTAATTAATGATGGTGGAATATGGTTATCATTATCTAAAGTACAGGTATGAAGACACGAATTGGTTTGAATATAATGTGTATACAGCCAGAGATATGAAAAATTGTGCTTTTTACGTATAAGAATCGTAATGCATTCCGCTGTCATTTATAAAAAAAAAAAATTCCAGTACTCGCTTGAATTTCTCTACATGGGGAGAGTCCAGTTCATTTTCTTTCCCAGCACAGACTTTCATCACCACCTACTGAAAATCATATTCTCCCCACTCTCTGCAGCGCCTCTGATCATAGCCCAGAGGTCCTTATGAATCTGTCATTCATTTCAGAAAGATCGACTTTTTGCTAAGGCTGTTGCTGTTAATGCTTGTAATGTTCTTAAGTGTTTTGGGTTCGTTAAGGTATTCATCATTGTGCATGAAAACACCACTTTCACCTTAGTCCATTGGTGAACGTTCAAAGTAAAAAACAGCTCGCCAACTAACCGCAGAGACACAATCAGAAGCACTTCCCCCAGAGGCTCCTCCTTGTCCCAGACCGCGCTCTCCTTTCCCTAGGCTCAATGCGCAGACGCGCCAGTCTCAGGTTCCCGCGCCGCACAATGAAGTGCGCCTGCGTCTGGAGACGCCCCGCCCCATTCCTGGCGCTGTATAAAGCCTCGCGCTTCTCCTCGCGAGAGACTTCGTGCTCATGCTCGCTGCGGAGGTCGGAGGTCAGGGCGAGCGTCTCGGTGGCCGAAGAAGGAAGATGGCGGTGGAATCGCGCGTAACCCAGGAGGAAATTAAGAAAGAGCCAGAGAAGCCAATTGACCGCGAGAAGGTGAGGACCCCAGTTCTGTGGGGTAAGGGAAGAAGTGAGGTGGGCCCGGCAAGGCATAGAGATGCGGCCTGTGTGCGGAAGAAGGCGGTGTTTTTGCTCCAGGGGCAGCCGAGAGGCCGCAACGCCTCCTAGCTCCGGATTCACTGCTGCTGTTTTAACTTTTGCCCTTCTTTTTCCTTTCTCCTCGAGACATGCCCGCTGCTGTTGCGAGTCTTCACCACCAATAACGGCCGCCACCACCGAATGGATGAATTCTCCCGCGGAAACGTACCCTCCAGCGAGCTGCAGATCTATACTTGGTGAGCTCTGCGGGGGTGGGGTCAAGGAACCTCTGTCTCCAACCCGTAAGGTTCAGTCTTTGCTAGGGAACAGCTGATTTTCCTTAATCTAATTTCTCATTTCCACATGGGGCCTTTAGGGTGACTCTCCGAGGTTTTGTCTGTAAGGTAAAAGGGGATTTGTGCATCTTGTAGTTTATATGATTAATATTGAAAGTTTGAGGTTGCTGAAAATTGACAATATTGCTATCAGCATTATGGCTGCCTGGTACAAAAAACGATGTTTAGATCATTAAAATGCAGTAGCGCCCTCGAGGGATTCCCTTGAATAAATGGTGTTGCATGGTAAGGTGATGATGTTGAGCGATATTTGTTATGCTCAAAAATCGTTTCCATTTAATAACACTAGAAATGTATCACCACCGAAAACCTAGTGATATCTGACCTGGAGTTTAGTGGAAAAGCTTTTTGGTGTGTTTAGAGAAAACTGGCACCCAGATGTTTTATATCATTATACCTCTCCTGTGCCCTAGTCCAGAGTAGGACTTTACTGTAATCCCGTAATTGGTGCATGATCTGAACAGTTGGTAACATTTACATTTTTGTGCATCTATCACTGCTAAAACGTTTTCCTTCCGACAGAAAGTGTATTTATTAAGCATTAACTTTCTGTTACCTCTCCCACAGCGCTTTAATCAACTTTCCATCTGTGTGAATTTGGCTATTTTAGATATTTTATAAATGGAGTTATTACAATGTTTGTCATTTTGTGACTGGCTTATTTCCCTTACATTGTTTTTAAGGTTCATCCATTAGAATTTCCTTTTCAAGGCTTAATGGTATTCTATTGTTATGTGTACCCCATATTTTATCTACTCATTTGCTGAATGTTCAGTCTTTTTTTGCAGTTGTAAATGCTGCTGCTCATAAACATTGGTGTATAACTATGTGCTTGCATCCCTATTTTCTATTCTTTTAGGTTTATACTTAGGAGAGCATTTTTGGAAGAGCTTGTTAAATTTATGTAGTAATATGATTCTTTTACATCAGTGTCATTTAAGGGTAAAAGTTCCAGGAAGGTTCATATAACTTAACAGAGAAGAATTACTCAATAATGGCTTTATGGAAAACTTTTTTTCCAAGATGAAATTTTTTCCAGTAAATAAGGTTTCTAAATTTCTAGGTACTGTGTTGATGTTATAAAGAAAATACTTCCTTTCCTTATAATGAGTTCAGTTTATTAGAGGAGCATGTCATTCCTCTGTATCATATAAAATAGCATAGTATTTGCATAAAATCTCCACACATTCTTTGGCATACTTTAAGCGATCTTTAGATTTTATAATACATAGTGAAGTTTAAATACTATGTAAATAGTTGTTATAAACGGTTGTTCAAAGACTAACGATGAAAAAGTAAGTCTGTGTTCAGTATAGGACCAAAATATTTTTCTGAATATTTTCAGTTTGTAACTGGTTGAATTGTGGATGTGGAACCCACAGATAAGAAGGGCTGACCATAAAGTAGGCAGTCCCAAGACCAGGTAAGGAGAAATTGGTAGAAGAGGATCCCAACAGAGGCAGTGCTGTGTAGAGTTTAAAGAACTAGCCAAACACCACAGAAGTAGTATATTTCCTGTGCTAGGTGCTCATTAAACAGGTTATTGGAAGAGAATTACACTTTTCTGTAAGTCATAGTTAAACCAGAAAAACAGAACCAGTAGGAGAGAGAGGTTAAGAGGATTATTGCAGAGAATTGGCTTAATTGACTGTGGGGGCTGGCTAGACCCCTGGGGCATTAATTTGTAGGGCGGGCCCTCTCCAGAAAGAAAGGCTGAATCCTTGAGTTTGAACATGAGCTGGCATTGGTTTCCATAGCCAGAATTTCTTAGGTCTATTCTAAAGGTCTTTCTACTGATTGAATCAGGTCTACCCAGGTTATATAGGTTAGTCTCCCTAATTTGAAGCCAACTAGTTATAGCCTTTAATCACACCTACAAAATATTTCACAGCAACACCTAAATTGGAATTTGGTTGAGTAATTGGGGGGCTATAGCTTTGCCAAGTTGACACACAATACTGAGCCTCACAGTCACCCAGCAGACGTAAGCTCCAAGGGAGCACTTTGGCATTCTCTATCTTTGTCCTCAAACTTTAGACTACTAGTTAGAGAGTAATACATGGCACTTCACTTGTTCCTCTGAGAAGATAGGCCACAGAAGGTGGAAAGCTGTTCATGTTGTCAGAAGTTATAAAAGATGTGAACCATATTCCCCAAGTTGATTGTAAGTACTGTGACAGTATAGACAATGTTTTAGAAGGAAAATGCATGATTTCTGGTATATATGATTAGTATACGCTGGGTGTTCAAGTCATTGATACAGAATAACATCCAAATATCAGGTTTAAAGAAAAGTCACTCCCAAGACAGGGTCTGACCTCAGAGTTTATGCCAACTTTGGAGTTCACTGGGGACAAAGTTAAAATGACCAGAGTTAATTATGATTATAGAATAGACTATGGACTCAGACAAATTAAAATAGGCTACAAAATTATATAAGAGGAAGGATAACTATGAATAACTGAATTTTTATCTGAAGTTTTGCCTACTGCTTCAATTTGACTTTATTTTCTTCTGGCAAAGTAAAATTAATTTTTATTAAAAGCATCATGTTAGCCCAGCATGGTGGCTCAACACCTGTAATCTCAACGGCTCCTAAATTCAAAGCCAGCCTCAGCCGAAAGCTAGGCGCTAAGCATCTATGAAATCCTGTCTCTAAATAAAATACAAAATAGGGCTGGTGATGTGGGAAAGTGCACCTGAGTTCAATCCCTGGTGCCCCCTCCCCTCAAAAAAAGCATAATGTTTATAGCATGAATTATATTTTTGTTTTATCTCAGCATTAAAACATGCTTGATATCTTAGGAATTTTTTTCCTCTAACACTATAATATGTATATGCATGAAGAATGCCTCACAATGATGTTAATATTACTCGTTTTTTCTTGATTGAGATTTGGAATATAATTTATTGCATATTTGCAAATGCCTTTTTCTCTTCTTTAAACAATGGGCACATATCAAGTTAGGAAAGGCAGTCATGCACAGCTTCTCCCTGCATGGCTGCAATAGTTTGGCCTTGTCTGAAAAAAACAAACTTTGAAAAACACAGATGGGTTGGAGGCAACATATATAAGGTTAAATAATGAGGTTGAAATTAAGCAACAGGCAGGGATGGAGGAAAAATTAGATGTTGATCTGTATTTAGGTAGAAAAAGAACTGTAACAGGAAGGAGGTGGGAAGAATTGAACAGGCTCAGGATGATGACCTGGCATCTAAATGGGTGATTTTTTTTTTTTTTTTTGTACTGGGAATTAAACCCAGGGGTGCTTAAAATCACTGAGCCACATCCCCAGCCCATTTTTGTATTTTATTTAGACAGGGTCTCTTTGAGTTCCTTGGGCCTCACTAAGTTGCCGAGGCTGGCTTTGAACTCAAGATTCTCTTGCCCTAGCCTCCTGAGCTGCTGAGATCACAGACCAGCACCATCATGCCTGGCAGGTGATAGTATTTTTGATAGGAATATCAGAGAAAAGGATGTGTTTTGGGGAGAAGACTATTAAGTTCTTTATGCAGATATATTGAGAAAAATTCGGGAGCAATAGAAAATGGAAGATGATGTGGTCATCAGTATAGCTGAAAGCCAGTGCTTTGGTGTGGTGGTGATTTTTAGAGTACAGAGCTAAAATCAAATGAACTATTTGATTTGATTTCCCTGCTTGATGCTGTACATCATAGTACTCATTCTTCACAAGTGTCCAGTGTCTTTGTGCCATTTTCTAGCATTCTTCTGGCATTATTGTTTCAAGTCCCAAACCATTTTCCCACTTGTCATGGAAGAAAACAATATAAAAATGTATACTGGATATTTTTTATTTCTAAGATGCTTATATATAAAGATTTTTCAAGAAGGAAAAAAAACACCGCACATTTTTACGAAAATGCTTTCTTAGTACATTGATTCTAAAATGTTTTCCAGTTCCTGAGATTCTAAATGTGGAAGAGTACATGTTTTAGAAATGACAAAATACAATTATTTTGTGTATTTGAATTTGGACTAGCTGCTTTTAGATAGGTAAATCACTGAATCAAGATATTTCATAGCAATAGAAGAAAGCATATGAACCTCTTAAAATCTCTTTTAGTATACACTTATTTATGTGTATTAGGCAAATGTTCTACCACTGAGCTACATCTCTAGCCTTAAGAGTCTGACTTGACTTGTCAAAAACAATATTGAGCTAGTATAGGGAATATTTGAGAGCAAATAGTATTTTTAACTGCTTTAAAATTAACTTTTAATATAAGACACTGGCATTTTCTAACGTAAGTCCCAACTCAGACACATGTAATAACTCATTGTCATTATCCTTGTTCCGTTATTGATGACTAATCATACGTAATTGTCATTTTTAAAAAAATTCAGGATGGATGCAACTTTGAAAGAACTAACTAGTTTAGTAAAAGAAGTCTACCCAGAAGCTAGAAAGAAGGGAACACACTTCAATTTTGCAATTGTTTTTATGGATCTTAAAAGACCTGGCTATCGGTAAGTAATTCCTCACTTTTAATTCTATTTTTGTTGTTATTGATAGACTTTTATTTTATTCATTTATTTTTATGCGGTGCTGAGGATTGAACCCAATGCCTCACACATGCTAGGCAAGCATTCTACCACTAAGCCATAACCCAGCCCCAGTTTTGGCATGTTTTTACAGATAGGGATAATTCCTTTAATGAATTCCTTTCAGCATTGTGGGAGGGAGAGTATTTATGTTATCTTAATATCTGTTTTAGCTACATTAGTACTTTAATTTTTGAACTGTTACAAGGTAGAGCAAATTGAATCCCATGTTCAGTTTTGTAACACATACTCAATTGATTTATGGTCCAGTAACAGTTGATTTCTTTTCCTGCAGAGTTAAGGAGATTGGCAGCACCATGTCTGGCAGAAAGGGGACTGACGATTCCATGACCTTGCAGTCCCAGAAGTTCCAGATAGGCGATTATTTGGACATAGCCATTACCCCTCCAAATCGAGCACCGCCTCCTTCAGGGCGTATGAGACCATATTAAATTATATTTACTATCTCTCAAATTTATTTTTCAGCCAGTTATGTAAAATAAACTTACATACTCTTTCCTCCCCTGATTTTTGCCATTAAGCCTTTAAATTCTAAACAAATTGTAATGCATCTATTTAGAAGTTAGATTTGGATACACTATGGGTATGGATATTAATAGAAAGTCTGTATGTTTCACGCCTCTGTAAAATATGAAGAAAAGTGCTCTTAGCATTATGTGTACAACTGTTAAATATATATGTACAATCAGTCTGAATGTGAAAGTCAATGGAGGCATGGGAATAGGGTTTCATCTCTTATATGAAGTTTATACAAAGTAGTGCAGGCGGCTATTCCCAAAGGTGAAGATAAAAATACTGAGATTATGAAATTTAGCATGAGTTTGGGCTGTAGACTAAGGTATGCAGTTAGAAAAATGACCTATGACAATGAGGCAGCAGAGGCTTTTTGGAATGGTATGAGCTTCAGCAAATTGAAGGAATTGTGTTGGAAGACATGGCCTGCCTTGGTTTGGGTGCTAAAGAATAGTGTTATGGTGAGGATTTATATGCTTTAAAATGGAGGCTAGGACATTGTGAAGGCAGGAGCCAATATCTTTAAGATCTGAAAAACTGAGAAAGGGACAAAAAAAGAACCTCTTACACATCCTGTGCTGGGGACTAGTGTATGATTTGAGAGGCATTATAACACAGTGATTAAGACCAATGTACAAAGCATTTAAATTCTGATTGTACCAGTAGCTCTGCAACCTTAGATGAATTACTTGAATCAAGTGGGGGGGGGGCGGCTGGTGGTGGTTTTTAATGGAGACACTAGTCTATAGGGTTATGAAAGTTAAAAAAAAGACCTAAGATAGTGCTTGGTGGATTAGAAACAATAAATACTGGTTATTAGCCAGAAAAAAGAACTTAGTTAAACTGGAAAATTATCTTAATGCATTGTTTCTCATTTTGAAGTTTATGAACTAGATAACAATGTGTAGAAAGCCTAGTTATTTTTAGTCTGACAGTAGAAAATTGAAATCCCCAAATGATAAAAGTGCTAAAAATGTGCAAGTAGTCTCAGTAAAGTGAGTTTTATCTTGTGCATACAAAATAGTCATTTAAAATCTGATTCTGTCAAATTGGTGTCCCTGTTACAGTGAGTCCACATTTTCAGATGACTAGATCTTAGTGGTTCTTTGCTGTAGCTTACTCCAAACCCTTAGCTTATATATTCATTCAGACTAGATGGACTGAGTTACTCACCTCTTGGAGAATAGCCATGAGTATCTTCCTGTTTGTGGGGCATGAAAGGGGGGATGATTTACTATTTAGATCCAAAGGGTGGAAACCACATTAAGGACTTTCAGAAGCCAATTTTTTCATATGGTGTGATCTCTTATCTTACAAGGGCTCTCCTGTTAATTCATGTTATTTTCCCACTAGTTTTAAAATAAAGTGGTTTAGTTGGTTTGCCCAATTCTATTCTTTGTTGGTTCCAACATGAAATTTTTCCTTTAAAGATTTCAGTCTTTTTGGGGCTAGGGATGTGGCTCAATGGTGGAGCACTTGCCTAGCAAGTGTGAGGCACTGGGTTCAATCCTTAGCATCACATAAAAATAAGTAAATAAAGATATTGTGTCCATCTACAACTAAAAAATATTTTTTAAAAAATTCAGTTTTCTACCAAAAGCATAAAGTTCAAGAATATGCAGTGAGTTTGTTATTGGCTATATTAAGAATCAAGGCTTAGCCCTTGTTTTCCTTTGACTTTGCTAAGAAGGTATGGTTTTAAGTAGTAACTGAGCTATTTTCTCAGAAATAGAAGTGGTTACCATTACAGCATCTTTCTCAGTTCTTTAGTGTCTTTCCTAACTGCCGCAATTGCTTATAGGTTTTCAGAGTTGAAATTTTTCCTTTAGAACGTGTGAATTACAGTATGCGACATTGCCCATGTCTTTTCAGTGTCTAAAACTGGAATGGTTATGCCCATGCTCATTGACTCAGGTAATGTTTCAGAGATCAGTTGTGTGTGCATGCATGTGCATGTGAAGGGCAAGTATGAGTGGGGGGAGAAAAAGTGATTAAACTGTTTGGCCACCTTGAAAAAATTTTAAACTCTTGTTATTCTTTAATAAAGAGCCAAACTCAGCCAATCTATTGTGTTCAATCAAACACAAATTCCAAACTTCGTTTTTGTGAAACTAAAAAGGGAACACTCTAAAACCAAGCTTGTCATCATAATTATGATTTTTCGTGCTTAGCTGTGCCAAATACTTAGGGAACAACTTTAACCAAGCATTATCTCATTTAACCCTTACAACTGAGACACAATGACCATATGGGTTCCATCTTAGAATGAGATTGATGCCTACTTCAATATCTCCAAAGTAGGTAGCCAACAACAATTTGGTTGAAACTTTTCAAGAAATAAGTGTTCTTTTACAGTTTCTTTTATCCTTAATTCTTTAGTCTGTCTTCCACTCACTGACATGGTTTTTGTAGTGGAATTATCTTCAGTGATAAAATTCTGCCAAGATAGTCATTGAAAATAAATAGACCCGCTTTATTCGACTTTTATACAAACCACAAATCTCTTTTAAGATATCCAGGGTTTCCAGAATGAGTGGAAGAATAGCCAAATGACATCTGTCTGCTTTGTTTTTTATTGATTAGAAACAGACCATTCAACGGGCGTTTATTGTACCTGTTAGTGCATGTTCTCTTTTGTACAGTAAGTTTATGACCATCAATTGTTATCAGTTGACATATGTGGCATCAGGGCCTTCATAGCCACCTCTCCAACCATTGTTCCTATGAAATTCTGCTTTGGTTCCACAGTAGGAACTTTAGTTGTTTTTCATCAACCTCACAGCCACTATAGCCAGGCACCCACCTGCTTAAGGGCTGCCCGCCCTCCCCATCTCCAACTTCCCTGCCTTTGTGGGTTCTGGGTCAGTAAAATGAATTACTTCTGCTGGGTCACAGCTGCTTTCTCTTTGCTGTTTTCAGTATTTCTATCCCCTTCCTTTGTGCCTTTGGCTGTTCAGACTTTTTAACTCTACAATTAAAATTACCCCAATTACAACCAACTAAGACAATCTTAACAGAATTTGATGAAATTAAAGCAATTTAAATTGTGAATGAGGTGAACTGCCTTAGGGATTTTTAAAATCTGTGAATTCTGAATAGTAATTATTGGGAAGTGGCAGAGAATTTACAATACTCCTGAATACTCTAATCCCTATCCTCGGTCTTTCCAGTAGCATGACTATCTTAGGTACCAGGTGCTGTGGACCAATTACACAGATCAGATACAGATTTTTCTTTCCTCAGAAAAAGGTGGACAGAAAAGTGTCATGAGAAACATTGCTACTGAAAGTAGGATAACAAAGTATTCTGGAGATGACATTTGAGCTTGTCCAACTCCTGAAAGACAGGTGGGAATTATACTCCAGAATATGGATACAGCATGAACAAAAGAGGAAATGAGTTTATGCAACCTTATGTACTGTTGTCGGTTCAACACAAGGAGGTAGGAATGCCAAATGCCAAATGTACAACTTACTGTACATCATTCTCATCCTGATCAGGATGAGAATTGGAGTACTGGCAGAGCGTTAAGGTACATCTGAGATTAAATTGGAGATTATCAGGAAGACCTGGGTGGGAAATGGGAAAGAAAAGTGAATCATTAAAGCGTCAATTTCCTCATCTGAAAAGTAAAGTGCCTGCTTCAAATTTAAGAATTAAATAGTAATTCAATTATTACTCAGTAATTGTTTAATGTTATCACTAATTCATTCAATAAACATGCTAGATACCAGGGTAATGAACAAGGTCCTAAGACTCATATAAAGGTTGTAATCTAGCAGGGCAGAAAACATTAAATAAATGTTTATTCAAATAAATACTACAAATTCTACCAAGTAATGTGAAGGCCAAACAAAAACAGGTGTTAAGAAAAAAACTTTTAAAAAAGGGGAGAAACTGGGGGCTGTGACACATGCCTGTATCCTAGTGCTTTTAGCAAAAGCAAGGTGCTAAGCAACTCAGTGAGACCCCGTCTATAAAACAGGGTTGGGGATGTGGCTTATTGGTCCAGTGCCCTTGAGTTAATCCCTGGTACCAAAAAAAGGGAGGGACTCCTTCATAGTGGCAGGATACATAAAGTTTTTGATAAAATGACATTTAATCTGAGACCTGATAAACACATCATTCACAACTCTCTTACAAGTTTGAAATAACCAGAAAAGTTCAGCTAGTTTAATCATAAGGACTTTTATGGATCATTTCACTGAAAAGTCCAGGGGTAGAGCTAGCTGGTGTTAGCTTGGTTGACCATGGGGGTCCTCACACCTCATTCTTCTTGTTAGGGGTCTTGTGTAGGGTTCCATGCTTGGCAGGCTGTTTCTGTAGTAAAAAGCAGCTCCAGGTGTTCCTCTACCTCCAGTGTGAAGACATGTGCTTGAAAGATCCCAACATTTGAAGCTGGAAGCATCACTATTCTAAGTAACAAGCTAGGATCATGGAAGGTAGTAAAGATTCAGAAAAAAATAAATTTTGAACAAAATAAATTTGAAGGCCCAAGGCCATCATAAAACAAATGCAGCTCCCTTACAGGCAAATGCCTAAATCTTTTTTTTGCTCATTTTTAAAAAGTCTTTATGCTCCATCTCTCTCTCTAGTGGCACTGTTTCTCTTCCCCTCATTAACAAGACCTCAAAGGAGCAGTCTAAAGCCATTGTCTATTTCCTCACCCCTGTCCTCTTAGATCCACCAGACTTCCCTCACTAGTACTCCACCAAAATTACTGTTAAATCAACTTTGCCAAATCTAGTGATCAATCCTCAGTTCTCTTGTTATTTGACTTGAGTAAAGTATTAAAGTAGTTGACCACTTTTCCTGCCGCAGTCTGGCTGGGCACAATCAGGAGCCACTTGTCAAAAGAAACTAACTTTGTTTTTAGAACTACACACGCCAAACAAAACAGCCTCTCAGGAAAAACCCTCAGAGCCTCAACTGCCACCACCGGCTTTCCACAAGCCTCTCTCTCCCACACAAGCTTCTCTCCACCTCCCACAATCCTCCTGCTCTTGAGGCCGATTGGCTGGGTCACGTGGGCGGAGCCAAAAAAGTCCCCCAATGAGCAGCTCCGTGGTCTGAAAGGGCAGGGAAACAGCCCAATGAGCATCACCGCAGAGGAGCCAATCAGCTAGATGTTGCTGGGGCCGAGGAGCCAATCAGCTAGATGTTGCTGGGGCCGCTGTGAGCCAATCATCAGCCAGCAGCTGGAAGTTTGCTGGGGCCCCTTTGGCTGTGGCTCTCAACATCTCCCCCTCTCTGTTTAAACAACAAGCATGTGGCTTAGGGACCTTGCCTGTTAGGCAGTCCAATTCAACATATGGTCCTTACCCGTCATCGGATGAACTGACCTCTAGGCGTCAGCCTCCTGTCTTAGGTTGGTACCACTGCAATTGGATCATACCCGTCACTGACTACCGGTCCAGCATACAGCCATACTTGTGGATAGGCCTTTGCACCTGTGGGGGGGTGAGGTTCTTTGCCTCACCTCTGTTGGCCCCCAAATTTTAGACCATCACTAGTAGAGGAGGATGCAAAATGCCATGACATTAAGCCAATTGAGGGCTCCTTTGAAAAATTGTACCACCGGTGACACAATCAGCAAAAATACTCCAGCACTACCACAATTCGCTGTACCAACAGATAGTTCACAATGCATACAGGTGAGCTCACAATGTGTCCAGGCAAGTTCTGCAAGCAGTTCAGTGATGGCTATTGTAGAAGCTGTAGATTGGTTTTATCTTTGACTTCACCAGCACTGGGATGAAGATAGGAATTCTGGCAATAATGGCTAAAGAAAAAATTATGTATCATTACAGAAGACACTAAAAGAAAACAATTTTCTTAACAATTTACATTGTCTTCACCGGCACTGGGATGAAGATAGGAATTCTGGCAATAATGGCTAAAGAAAAAATTATGTAACATTACAGAAGGCACTAAAAGAAAACAATTTTCTTAACAATTTACATTATCTTTAAGAGAATTATTAAATATAATGAAAAGGAAAGGTGAAAGTAAACAAACAGATCTGTTAACCTTCTTTTTTGTTTACATATTAAAACAATCCTCAACAGTTGTTTACCCAATTTAAATTAAACCATATAAATCACGTGAAAAAAAAAATATTTGGATCCATTTTATCATGAGCGCTCATCATATATGATATATGGACATACGTACATTCAAACATATAACACAAAACACAAGTGTGCACACATAATATAATACATACAACACATAACATTATAGTAAAGGCCTTATAACTTTTTACAGGTGAAATCTCCATTGCAATGTTTAAAAACTCTATAGTCAAAAAATAGAACTGATCAGCAAAACATTAACCTAGGTCTGTATGAGCTCAAAAAACAAAATAGAACTTCATGATATGGCAAAGGGCAATAATAAAATAGATATTGAAAAAAGCATCCTGGTTCTGTTGCAGATGTAAGAATAGCCAAACTGGAGTTTTGGATATCAGTTGTTATGGATTTGAGCCAAATCATCTTCTTTTTGGTCTGTAGAAATCGCTTTAGTTAATCTTTCTGGAATCCAAATCGGCTGCTGTTCTCCCTGTGGAAACACATAAACAGACCCCCGACTCCAGACAATCACTGGGTCAGGACCTTGGTTAATCTCTCTGGAATCCAAATCGGCTGCTGTTCTCCCTGTGGAAACACACAAACAGACCCCCGACTCCAGACAATTACTGGGTCAGGACCTTTCCATTGTCCTGTTAGAATATCCTTCCAAAGTACCTTGGGCTTATGTACATTTTTTGGACACATATGCCTTTCCGCAGCACTAAGTCCTGATGAATCCAAATTTAAAAAGTTTAGAGTAAAAAGCGTTATTTTAAGTTTATCTTTGGGGAATATATACCCCTTCCCAATTCCTTCTTTTTGCTTTAATAAGTACATTTTAATAGTTTGATGAGCTCTTTCAACTATGCCTTGTCCCTGTGGATTGTATGGGATTCCTGTTATATGAGTAATGCCAAATGTTGAGCAAAATTGTTTAAAAGAGGTAGAAGTATAACCAGGGGCATTATCTGTTTTTAACTGTTTTGGAACACCCACAGTGGCAAAATTTTGTAAGCAATGAGCTATAACATCTTTAGTTTTTTCTCCGGCATGAAGGGAGCCCATCAAAAATCCAGAAGAAGTATCAACTGTAACATGCAAATATTTTAATTTTCCAAATTCTGGCAAGTGTGTGACGTCCATCTGCCAAATATGGTTAGGTATCAATCCTCTAGGATTGACTCCAAGATTAACTTGTGGTAAAAAGGTCACACAATTTTGACATTGTTTTATTATTTGTCTAGCTTGTTCCTTAGTTATTTTAAAGTGCTTTTGTAAAGTATTAGCATTGACATGGAACTTTTTATGAAAATTTATAGCTTCTTCTAGTGTAGAGAAAATATGTATGTCATGTGTAGTTTTATCTGCTAAATCATTGCCCAAACTAAGGGCTCCAGGCAATCCTGTATGTGCCCTGATATGTCCTATAAAGAATGGATCTTTTCTGTCCCAGATTAGACTTTGTATAGTGGAAAGCAAAGAGAAAACAGTAGAAGAAGGGGAAATCCTACCAGCATCTTCAAGAGATACTATAGCATTAACTACATACTGACTATCAGAAAATAAATTAAATACAGAATCTTTAAACATCACAAAAGCTTGTAAAACTGCATTAAGCTCTACCTTTTGAGCTGATTGTTTGGGTACTAAAAATGTAAAAGTTTGATCAGGGGTAACTACTGCTGCAGTACCATTATTTGACCCATCAGTGAATATATTTGGAGCATTCATGATAGGTGTTTTTCTTGTCATTTTTGGAAAAATTACAGGATGCAATGACCAAAAAGACAATAAAGGATTAGATGGTAAGTGGTTATCAAATGAAACATTAGATTTGCACATGATTATTGCCCAAGTATTTAACTCATTAGCTAACTCATCAATTTGATTCATAGTATATGGAGTAATAATTTTATTGGGAGAAATTCCAAACACTCCCTTTGCTGCTTTTATTCCTTTGAGTATTAATTGTCCTACAGCCTCAGGATACCTAGTAAGAATAGTGTTAGGGGAATAAGATAAATGTATCCATAATAATGGACCTTCTTGCCAAAATACTCCTGTAGGAATATTTTTTGTTGGTAGTACAATAAATAATAAAGGCAAACTTATATCAATTCTATCCAAATGCATATTTTCCATATATGTTTCAATGATTTTTAATGCCTTTCTTGCTTCAGGCGTTAACATTCGGGGTGAATTTGGATCTGATGGACCTTTTAGGATATCAAATAAAGGTCCCAACTCTCCTGTTGGTATACCTAAATAAGGCCTTATCCAATTTATGTCTCCTAATAACTTTTGAAAGTCATTAAGTGATTTGAGTTGATCTACTCGTATTTGAATTTTTGGTGGACGGACCATGGTTGAGGATAATAGAACTCCTAAATAATTAATTGGAAAATTTAATTGTACTTTATCTATTGCTATCTCTAGATTATAATTTTTTAATAAGTTTGTAAGTGTGGCATAACATTCTAGCAATGTGTTTTTATCTTTGTGTGCTAATAATACATCATCCATATAGGGAAATATTTGTAGTTTAGGATTTTGATTTCTAAGTGGCTGGATTACTTTGTTAACATAAATTTGACACATAGTTGGGCTGTTAGCCATCCCTTGAGGGAGTACTTTCCATTCATATCTCTGATCAGGACCTTCATGATTCAGTGCAGGGATAGTAAATGCAAAACGTGGACTATCCTCAGGATGAATTGGAATTGAAAAAAAACAATCTTTAATATCTATAACTAAAACATACCAGGTTTTTGGCAAAGCAGACAACTGAGGAATCCCTGATTGAGCAGGTCCCATAATAACCATGTCATTATTAATGGCTCTTAAATCTTGCAATAATCTCCATTTACCAGATTTCTTTTTGATGACAAAAATGGGAGTATTATGGGGAGGTACAGAAGGTTGTATATGTCCTTCCGCTAATTGTTGTTTGACCAGGTCATGGGCTGCTTGTATCTTTTCTTTAGTCAGGGGCCACTGAGGAACCCATACTGGTCTTTCTGATTTCCAAGTAATTTTTATTGTCTCAGTGGCCCTTTCTGAAAATCCAACCTATGTCTGTCTGTTCCTTGATCTATTTGTGTTGGTGCTGCTATACCTTGTTCTTGTTTTTCTAATCTTTTTCCTTTCCTAAAACCTTGTCTAGTCATAATAGTGGGTGCATTTTGGTTGATGTTATTTGTTAATGTCAAACCTAATTGATCTAGGACATCTCGTCCCCATAAATTTACGGGAAGATGATCCAATACATATGGCTGTATAGTTCCTTCACATCCTTCAGGATCCTTCCAATCTAATACCATTGCACTTCTATGGGGATTAGTCGCCACTCCTAGGCCTCGAAGCGTTTGAGTGGCTTGTTGTAATGGCCAATGTTTTGGCCATTCTTGACGAGAGATGATGCTAAGGTCTGCACCTGTATCCAGTATCCCATTAAATTCATGTCCTTGAATATTTAGTTTTAGCATGGGGCGAGAATCTAAATTTAAAGAAAGCATAGCCCAATCTACACCTGTGGAGCCTAATCCCTTGGAACCTCTTTCTACAGTACGACTGGAAAATTTATCATGTAGGCTGGGTATTATTAGTAACTGTGCTATTCTATCTCCTGGTGAAATTACTGATATACCCTTTGGAGAACTGGCTATAATTTTTATTTCACCTTCATAATCGGGATCAATTACCCCAGGACTTATCATAAGTCCTTTTAGAGTAGAAGAGCTGCGTCCCAATAATAAGCCTACTGTTCCTTTGGGAAGAGGTCCTTTCACCCCTGTGGGAATGATTTGAACTCCCATCTCTGGAGTTAGTACTGCTCTGGCGGAGGCGCAGATGTCCAACCCTGCGCTCCCTCTGGTTTGTCTGATGAGGGATCTGATGGACAGTGTGTCCTGGGCACTACCCTGATGGGGTTGCTGGGTTCCTCGAGTGCTCCGTATATTTGTGGTTTTGGGCCCCGGAGCATTGGGCCCCCCTGTCCATTTTTTGGCAATGGAGCCCGATGCCTTTCTCTACGATATCGTGGATAAACACCTGGTCCTTGTTCGTTTTTTGATAATGGAGTACCCTCTATGGTGGTTTGAGAACGGCATTCATTAGCCCAATGTCTCCCTCTACGGCATCGTGGGCAAATACCTGGTATTCTACTCCTTTGATACCTAGTTTTGTTAAACCCTCCTCCAATGGGGCAATTCCTTTTAAAATGTCCTGTTTGTTCACAATTGTAGCATGTTCTTGGCCTGGCATCTAAAGCCTGTTTTACTGCAGCTGCCACAATTTGCCCTTGTTCATTAATGTCTCTGGCATCTAAAGCCTGTTTTACTGCAGCTGCCACAACTTGCTCTTGTTCATTAATGTCTCTACATAATTTAATATATGTGTTTAAATCTTCATGTTTCCATGGTCTAATGATATCTCTGCACCAACGATTCGCTTGCTCATAAGCCAGGTGTTTTAGTAATGGCATTGCTTGTTCTGTATTCCCAAAAACTCTGGTAGCTGTTTGAATAAGCCTATCTACAAATTCAGCATAAGGTTCATTAGCTCCTTGTATTACCTTAGATAATTGACCTTGTAAACCTCCATGTCCTTGTAAAGTCTTCCATGCCTTAATTGCATCTGCAGCAATTTGTGCGTATACGCCAGGATCATATGCAATTTGTTGCTGCTGATCCTCATAAGGTCCCTTTCCTAACAACATATCTAGATTTCTCTGAGGATAACCAGCTGCTGCATTTCGCCTAGCCGTCTCCTTGCAAAATTCCTCATTGGCAACCTTCCATAACAGGTATTGTCCTCCATTTAGCACAGCTTTACACATATTAGCCCAATCTGCTGGCGTCATGTTCAAGTTGTTAATGGATTCGACCATGCTTACAGTGAAGGGTGCTTGAGGACCATAGGTTGTTACAGCCTCTTTTAGCTGCTTCACTGTTTTGAAATTTAAAACTTGGTAAAATCGCTGCCCTCCTGCCTCAAATACAGGGCATGTTAATATTTGAGATCTTGTCTCAGGATCCCAACTATCAACTGTGGGGGTTGGGGGCCTCCCAGCATATGGAGGTGGCGCTGTTGGTTGGACACTTACGCCCTCTGGTGATAGAAAGGTGTTAGTAGCAGTCTCCTGTAGAGGTGGTGCTGTTGGTTGGACACTTACACCCTCTGGTGATAGAAAGGTGTTAGTAGCAGTCTCCTGTTGTAACTTTCCCCCTGATGGCTTTTTCTGTTTTACACTTTCTTTCTCTGTCTGACTAGCTTGAGAGGCCTTCTCTTTTAGTTGAATCTTTTCCTCTGTCTGACTAGCTTGAGAGGCCTTCTCTTTTACTTGAATCTTTTCCTCTGTCTGACTAACTTGAGAGACCTTCTCTTTTACTTGAATCATTATGCCTTCTCCTTCCTCTACCATTGTCTGAACTGAAGGCTTTGGACTAAGCAAACAAGATATGAACGTCCACAATGGCAATGTGCCAACTGGCAGAGTCCCTGGGCTTTTCTTTTCTATTCTTTTTAAATCTTCACCATGATGGTTCCATTGTGATATATTTAACAACTCCTCCTTAAAAAGCCATGGGCTACATTTTTGTATTGTATCAACGTATGCCCTGACTGCTCTTGATTTTACTGGGATGCCTCCTTCCTCTAACAATTTACTTAACACTCTTTCAGTTTGTTTTTTACTAATTTCTGATCCCATATTTCTACTATAATACAACCCAACAAGATGACGCCAAACAAAACCGAGACAGAATGAAATAAAAAGGGAACAACAAAAAGTCATTATAGCCTTTCTATCCTCCTGACATGTGCATCCGTCCTTTCTCCCTATCTGTTCCTCAGACGTAAATAGTTTTTCCTCAGATGTGAGCGGTTTTTCTTCCGTCTCACTCATCTCCAGGGACAGGCAACTTAAAACAAAAGTGAAGCAAAATAAAAGAGGAATCTTAAAATGGCTACCCATCCTCTCGCCCTGCCCTCAGGGGCGAGCAGTTTCACTTACCCTCAGTCGCTCCCCGTGCGAGCCACCAAATGCCGCAGTCTGGCTGGGCACAATCAGGAGCCACTTGTCAAAAGAAACTAACTTTATTTTTAGAACCACACACGCCAAACAAAACAGTCTCTCAGGAAAAACCCTCAGAGCCTCAACTGCCACCACCGGCTTTCCACAAGCCTCTCTCTCCCACACAAGCTTCTCTCCACCTCCCACAATCCTCCTGCTCTTGAGGCCGATTGGCTGGGTCACGTGGGCGGAGCCAAAAAAGTCCCCCAATGAGCAGCTCCGTGGTCTGAAAGGGCAGGGAAACAGCCCAATGAGCATCACCACAGAGGAGCCAATCAGCTAGATGTTGCTGGGACCGAGGAGCCAATCAGCTAGATGTTGCTGGGGCCGCTGTGAGCCAATCATCAGCCAGCAGCTGGAAGTTTGCTGGCAGCTGGAAGTTTGCTGGCAGCTGGAAGTTTGCTGGGGCCCCTTTGGCTGTGGCTCTCAACACTGGGGCCACTGTGAGCCAATCATCAGCCGGCAGCTGGAAGTTTCCTGGGGCCCCTTCGGCTGTGGCTCTCAACACATATGACTAAAGCTAGATGGCTCACATGCCAAAGCAGAATGCAGCTGCTTTGGGAATCATAAGTGAGCATAACCACACATGCAAATTGGAACTTCAAAAATAAGTGTAACTTTCAAACCTACATTGGTATTTCCACTTAGGGATAGTGATCAGTCAGGACAACTGGGTAGTAAAAGTTAACCAGTTCTAATATCAACACTGCAGCAATACAATTGACAGAAATGACATAAATATATAATGATTTTAAAGTCCATTTTTTCCTTCCAGCTGGGTGGTAAAAGAGAACTGTCTTCCTTGAACTTAAGGAATTCACAAATTCTGGGGAGATTCAAGAACGATAGTGGGGGGCTGGGGATGTGGCTCAAGCGGTAGCGCGCTCGCCTGGCATGCGTGCGGCCCGGGTTCGATCCTCAGCACCACATAATAAACAAAAATGTTGTGTCCGCCAAAAAATAAATAATAAATAGTTCTCTCTCTCTCTCTTTAAAAAAAAAAAAAAAAAAAAAAAAGAACGATAGTGGAAAAACTAGGTCCCAGAGGAAAGTAAGGAGATTTTTTACTAAACTGAGCATTTAAAACTGCAAATACCTAATAAGAAAAATCACAGTTGCCATAGGAGACATTATACTTGGAATGAAGTGGATAATGCTGAGATCTATAAGAATAAACATTTTAAAGTTCTGAGATATGGGCTGGAGGTGTATCTCAGTGGGAGAGGTCATGCTTGAGAACCTGGATTCAATCCTCAACACCATAACACCAGCAGAAAAAGAAAAAAAGTTCTGTAATATGTCCTGCACTAATCATTATTGCTAATTAGACTAGACTTTTGCAGTGTTAATGGCTGATGAAGGGACTCAGTAACTGCCATTCCTAACATATTTGAACTATGAACACTTAAATGATATATAAGATGCAATAGTTGTGCTTATTTTTAACCTCCACTTAACGTTGATTAGTACTTTAATTAAAACACTTACATATTGCAGCCACTAGCAACAGAATAACATAATGCAGTCCCTCCATCCACATCTTCCGCAAAGACATCAATACCTCCTTCAATAAGAAGCTTGATTATATCTGGTGATTCATACCTCACTGCAAGCATGAGGGCTGTTCTAAAATAATGGAGAAACAACTTTGTTATTAGGTACTTTAAGAGCTAATTTTATGTATCTTTTCAATTTAGTATCTTCCTTTACATATCTTAACAGACATAAGCATCTTGGGGGATCAGCTCTGCAAATCACCTCTCAGTCTAAATGGACAAAAACAAAGAGGAAACCTCTTGTCCCAATGGGGAATTACAAGTTATAAACATAAAATCACTTGATGGACAATAACTGAGATGAGGTTATTTATCTGAAGCAAACGAGATTTCAATGAAGAATGCTCCATTTCTTCCCCAGTCTGATGTGATATATTATAACTCATAATCAGCTAAAAGTCAAGCAAACAAAGGCTGTGAGCAGACTTAAAACAACCTCTATAATAATAATAATGGTGATAATCCGTCATTATTGCTTCAGTTAATAACAATGAAAACAAGCATTTGATAAGGATTACAATCATGCTATATGTATCATCTTAGTACAACCCTTCAAACATGTTTCATTCTTTTTCATATCAGGAAATATATTTAGTGATAAGTAATGTTTCCAAAGTGTCACACTTTGTAACTAGGAAAGCTAGAAATGCAACATAGTCATGTGAGAATTTAAAGCTTATCTTCTTTCTCTTCACCACACACCTATTTCTTCATTAAAGGAAATGTTTGTGCCAGTAAAGCTTTTTTTCTTCCCTCAGCCCTTGCCAATTAGAAATAAAAGCATCAGAGCTGGGGTTGTAGAGCATTTGCCTAGCACATGTGAGGCACTGAGTTCGATCCTCAGCACCACAGGGAAAAAAATGCATAAAATAAAGCTATTGTGCCCATCTCCAACTAAAAAAAAAATGTATTTAAGAAAAAGAAAAGCATGTGAATCATCTACGATTTCATCTCACTCCAGTCAGAAATGGCAGTTATCAAGAAGACAAGCAACAATAATTGTTGGCAAAGATGTGGAAGAAAGGCACACTCATACATTGATGGTGGGAGTGAAAATTGGTGCAACCAATCTGGACAGCAGTATGGACATTCCTTAGAAAACTTGGAATGGAACCACGTTTGGACACAGCTATTCCATTCCTCAGTCTATAACCTAAAGACTTCAAACAGCAAACTTAAAACAGTGATACAGCCACTTCAATGTTTATAGCAACACAATTCACAATTGCTAAACTGTGGAAGCAACTTAGATGCCCTCCAATAGATGAATGGATGAATAAACTGTGGTACATATATACAACATAATATTACAATTAAAAGAGAATAAAATTATGACTTTTACAGGTAAATGGATGGAGTTGGAGAAAATTATGCTAAAAAAATAAGCCAATTTCAAAAAAGTGGGGGCAAATGTTTTCTCTGATAAATGGATGCTAATCCATATAGGGGAAGCATGGGATGACTGGAGGAACCTTGGATTGGGCAAAGGGGAGGAGTGAGGGAATAAAGGCATAAGAAAGACAGTGGAAAGATTTGGACATCATTACATCCACAATTGCACGAATGGTGTGATCCTACTTCCATGCATAATGAGAGAAGTGGAAAATTCTGCTCCATTTGTGTATAATAAATTGAAGAGCTTTCTACTGCTATGCATAACTAATTAGAATAAAAAACCTTGAAAAAAGGGAAGAATAGCATCAAAATATATTAGAAAATGAACAACATCTAGCAACAGCAATTAATGTTCAATTAGGAATAAGTTAATATCAATATTCTTCAAACAAAGCAAATTTAGAGCCATCCAAAAGGAAAAAGAAAGATTATCAAAGCCTATTTATGCTCAATATACCATTTTAAGGAAAAGCATAAAAAATGGAAGTTAAAATTCAATACAGAGGTTAAGAAATTCATTATTGAAGCAAAAATGCCAAAATCTATACTTATTTAAAACTTTTGGTCATATATGATCATGCTGATTTAGTCAGCTTTTTAACAACTATGACTAAAGGACCAAACCAGCACAACTGTAGAAGAGAAAATGTTTATTCAAGTACTCATGGTGTCATAGGTCTTAGTCCATAGAAGACAGCTCCATTTCCAGGGGCTCAAGGTGAAACTGAGCATCATGGCAAGAGATTATGGCAGAGGGAAGCAGCTCACATCATGGTGATCAGGAAGCAGAGAGAGGTCTGCACTTGCCAGACACAAACATATATACCCTAAAGCCATGCCCCCAATTCCTACCTCCTCCAGCCACACCCTACCACACTTCAGTTACCACTCCCTTAATCAGTTAATCCCTGTCAGGGGATTAATTCACTGATTGGGTTAAGACTCTCACAACTCAATTATTTCTCCTCTGAACCTCCTTGCATTGTCTCACAGGTGAATTTTGGGGAATACCTCATATCCAAACCATAACATATGTGAACAACAAAATCAACTATTTCTACCTAAAACATGGTTTGTGTTCATATTTTTCACTCTAATGCAATATGTATAAATTAATATTCTCCTTCCCATTAATTTAATGTTTGGCCTGAGTGAGTGTTTTTAAAGAATAAATTACTATACCTTCCTCTCATGTCAACCGCATATATATTTGCTTTCGCCTTAATTAAAAATTCTGCCATATGATGTTTGTTTTCCTTTAGGGCAAGTAAAAGTGGGGTGCAGCCATCCTGGAAAACAACAAGAACAATTTATTAACAATTTTTCTTATTTTTCAATTGAACTGAAAATCTTAGACCTCAGGAACATAAACATATACTATATAAAATAAATGAAGAGCAGCCTCTTCCTTCTAGCACCCTGCACTTCCACATGAACTGCTCTTTCACCTTACAATGTATTATGTGATTGCCATCACATCCCATCAAAACAAAACACTTCTTGAGGATAATGACTGTATCTTTTTTTTTCAATGACCCCATTCCTAAAGTGCAGTAGTAAAAGGTCTTAAGTATCCTATTGAATTAATGAGCTAAACTTTTATCTCTAGAGTTGGTCATATCAATCAATATTCCAAAGAATTTCCAGTTTTACAGAAATACCAAGCTTCATCAAAAAATTTCATTGATTCACTATCAGAGAAATGCCACAGAATTGTGCCTTATGCATCCATTATTAAGGAAATATCTGTACCATTGCTAACACCAAATTGACAACACTTTTTCCTGGCAGACATTCACTTATGGAGTATTAAAGTTACAGGGGTACAAGTTCTGAGAGGTATCCAGTAACATGGGAGGTACCTCCATGCTTCACAAACCCTGTTGTCTCTCTTCTATATAGTTCAAGATCCTAGAAAACAACATAAGACACTCCCACTCCACTAGAAAAATATTCTCTTGAATTAAAAGAGAAGCTTCAAAAAAGTAGGCCCAAATCTCCATGATGTTGGATTAGGCCCCAACTTCCTTAATAAGACTCCTATAAGCTCAAGAATTAAAACCAAGAATCAATAAATGGGATGGAATCAAACTAAAAATTTTGTTATCAAAAGAAACAATCAGTGTAGTGAATATAGAGCCTACAGAATGGGAAGAAATCTTTACCAAAAGCACATCAGATACAGCACTAATCTCTAGGATATATAAAGCACTCAAAAACCTCAACACCAAAAAAAAAAAAAAAAATCCCAAATAACCCAATCAATAAATGGGCCAAGGAACTGAACAGACACTTCTCAGAAGAGGATATACATTCAATCAAGAAATATATGAAAAAATGTTTACCATCTTTAGCAATTAGAGAAATGCAAATCAGAAATACTCTAAGATTTCATCTCATTCCTGTCAGAATGGCAATTATCAAGAAGACAAGCAACAATAAGTGTTGGCGAGCATGTGGGGGAAAAGGCACACTTATACATAGTTGGAGGGACTGCAAATTGGTGTAGCCAATTTGGAAAGAGGTACGGAGATTCCTTTTAAAATTTGGAATGGAACCATCATTTGACCCAGCTATCCCACTCCTTGGTTTATACCCAAAGGACATAAAACCAGTATCCTATAGTGATTCAGCCACATTAGTGCTTATAGCAGCATAATTCACAATACCTAAATTGTAGAACCAATCCAGATGTCCTTCAGTAAATGAATGGATAGGGAAACTTTGGTATGTATACACAATGTAATATTATTCAGTATTAAAAGAGAATAAAATATGGAATTTGTAAAAATGAGTTGGCGTTGGAGAGTATAATGCTAAGTGAGCCAAGCCCCAAAAAACAAAGGCTGAATGTTTTCTTTGATATGAGGATGCTGATTCACCATGGTGATGGTGGGGGAAAAATGGGAGGAATGGAGAAACATTAGATAAGGCAAAGGGGAGGGAGAGGAAGGAACGGGGCATGGGTGTAGGAAAGACAGTGGAATGAGTTAGACATCATTACCCTAAGTACATGTATGAAGACACTAATGGTATGAAAATACTTTGGTTACAACCAGAGACTTTGAAAAAATGTGCTCTGTATGTGTAATATGAAATGAATTTCATCCTGCTGTCATATACAACAAATTAGAATACATAAATAATTCAATAAAAAAGAGAGGCTTCAAATGAACTTTGATTCATTTGGTACCTGTGTTTTCTCCTATTATAAGATCAAAGATATTAATCTTACACTTTAGAAAATTAATACAAAATGTATTCATAATAATAATCCTGGGACCATACTGCACATCCACATTACCAAATTTCTTTTTTCATTCTAGTTCCATTTGAATTGCTACTTAAAGCTATTTATAATTTTAGACAAAATGCAATTCAGAAATTTTTTGCATCAACAAAAGTTTTATACTGATCTACATGAATTATTTTTAGCATCATAAAAGACTAAAGCACCCACATGCTTAAGAGACAAAGCTGAAGACAAAGATGTAATACTGCTTGCACAATGTGTATGCTATCCACCTCTAACTATGAGCAACCTAATGAAGCTTATAAAAATTCTAATGGAAATATGCATCTTACATATAAGTAAAAGTTTTGAAAAACATCAGTTTATAAATTCTTAAATTCAATTCCATTTGAAAGAGATTAATACATTCCATAAGTCAGTTCTTATAAATAGATACTACCATGAAAACCATGAAATTTTAAACAAAATATAATATAAAACAGGAGATATAAAACTTTTTTATAGGGCAAAGTATGGGGTTCTGAGTGAATGAATGCTGTAGGTTGCCAGCACAAACTGGGGAACACCCATGCCTGGTATGAAGGGGGCACCCTGAGCACAGTGCACCCAGTAACATGGGCTCAAAGGAGATCTCATGTGGTTCTTCAAGAGAGCTTGAACTCCATATTTCCACACAACTCTCCTGAATTTTAAATGTGGAGTTGATTTATATATACTTATATTAACTAAATATATCCATAAGATAAAAAAAGTTCCAACATTTTCTACTCTTCTAATCAATAAAACCCTGCTTATGAACAACATTTGTTGACTTATATCACTGTCAAAACAAATGTATTTCAAATATTTGGGAAATAAAGATGGGGGATGTATACCTTGTTTTGGGCTTCAATATTTGCCTTATGTAAAAGCAGTTTTGCTGCAACTGATGTGTTGTTAGTACAGACAGCATGGTGGAGAGGAGTTCCACCATTGGTATCCTGGGCATTTACATCGGCACCATTTTCTAGAAGAATAGTTGCACATTCTTCTTCTTGCTGTTGGATGGCCTGTTGGTTTGGTACCAAGAAATAGATTGTCAATTCCAAGAATTCAACACAAACATTCCATAGGATTTACTAATTATATTTAAATGATATTAATCAATTTTTATTCTAAGTATGTAAATATAGTTCATCCCTCACAGAAATACTTTGCTACACCTACCTTAATCAGAGGTGTGTTGTTGTCACTGTCACAGAGGTGAATGTTGCATTTGTTCTTTACTAGAAAAGCCACCACTTCTGCCTGGCCATAGGCACATGCATAATGTAGAGGGGTCCTACAAAAGTAAGATTTTTTTTAGGAGGTCATAGAGCTCCCACTTAAGACAGACAATTATTTAAAACAGACAATTATTCATGCCATTGTGAATATTAGATAGCATATAATTCCTTTCCCTTCAAAATAATTTCTTCAGAAGAAACAATAATATTTACTAGCTGTTATTACTAAATAAATGAAAGATCAACTCATTCTAGCTGCCTGTTCCACTGACTTCTTTCCTTCCCCCTCCATCCCCCCTGCTGAGGATCAAACTGAAGGGCACTCAACACTGAGCCATATCCAGAGCCCTTTTGATTTTTCATTTTCTGCTATGGTCTCACTAAGTTGCCCAGGCTCATCTTGAACTTGCAATATTTCTGCCTCACCTTCCCTCCCAAATCACTGGGATTACAAGTATGCACCATTGCTTCTGACACCAGTGAATCTTGATTTTGGTTGTGTATTGTTAATACGTTTTCAGATTTATTTTAAGGACTAAGTATTTCAATGTTTAAAATGTTTCTTCATACATAAAATAAAGAAACATCACCAATCCATGGTGGCTTACCTTAAGTGAAAGGTGATAAACAATTGGTCAATGGCAGTTCTAGTCATATGAGTGACATTTAAATAAATTTTAGTTATAAAAGTACTATAGGTAAAGAGGGCTGAATAAGAAAACAGCAAAAGACCAAATTTAAAGCAAAGTTTTCTTCTTTTTTTTTTCAAGAAACATAAAGCCAAAAGGAATGTATGATTCAAATGAATTAGTATGTTTCACTTTGTTCAGTATTTAGATTTGTAGCACTTAAGTAAATTAGATATATCCCATACTTAGTATCAGTATGAATGTGATCTTAACTTTTCAAATGGGCAGTTTATAAACTTTTATCTCCAGAAGTGCTTTTTTTTGAAAAGCCTGAGAAAATGCTTCACTTCAAGTTGAGTTCTATTATTTCAGTTTTAAATCTCCAGTCAGGGAAACAAGAAGTTTTTAAGAAAGGAGGACCTGAGAAATAGTAAAATATGTCAATTATATAATAGGTATTCAGGATATGAATGGTGAGTAAATGAAATGAAAGAACAGATAAAGTATACTTGAGGGGGTTCAGTGTAAGATATTTTTTTGTTTGTTTGTCATTTTCTACTGAGAATTGAATCCAGGGGCAATTAAACACTGTGCCACAGCCACATCACTTTTTATTTTTTTTATTTTGAGACAGTGTATCCCTAAGTTGCTAAGGGCCTCTCTAAATTGCTGAAACTGGCTTTGAACTTGTGATCCTTCTGCCTTAGCCTCACATGTTGCTGGGATTACAGACTTAGGTGCCTGGTGGGGAGTTCAGCATTTTTAAACAAAAGTTTAATAAATTAAAGCAATACTTTCACAGTATTTATATTTGCTTTCTTTTACTTTCTTAAGAATGTAACTAAAACAAAATGGCAAATCTACAATTGCATTTATGAAATAAATCTCTATGGAATGAAACATACATGTAATGTATAGGAACTTACATCTACAAGCACAGATGAAAAGATTACCTTCTCTTCTGAAGAGGCTAAAAGTTGGCTGAAGATAGCAATCTACAGAAACAAGATTCATATCCTGTTTCTCCCAAAGATTATTTTATTAACAAGAAGTTCTCACTAAAATTTTACACATATTCATTGTATAAATAACAGTTAAGAAAAAGGAAAAGCAGAAGCCAATGTGGAATTTTACCAAAGTTACCCATATGGAAGTTAAAAACAAGCAGAACACAGAAAATGTCAAAATACTGCATTAATACAGAGCATATTTACTGCTGTCAATGAAACTAAGGTAGAAACAAACAGAAAGATAAGGAAGAATTGCCAAATATTGGAAATAAAATAAACATTAAATGAAAGAAGAAATTTTTACTTTCTGAAAATAATAAATTTTACTACATTTGGTACGTATTTGTGCCTAACATGAGACCACAATCTTTTTGTGTCTCTGTACAATCAAGCTTAATTTTCATTTGATATTCAAAAAGACATCTTCCTAGGTCAACATACATCTACATATTTGCCTCCTCCAATGGACACATTATATTCCATGCTAGGAATGCAATGCATTTTCTGACTACAATCAATTCTATGAGTCCTTTCTAACACACTGCTATATTAAGTCGTGCATATTTTATAATATCCTAAAGATAGTATAAAGAAATTGATATGTACAGAAATAAACATTAACATGTACAATACTATCATTTATTTGAGAATTCATAAGGAACTCAACCCTTAAGCAGCAACATAAGTACCACTACTCTTCATCCTCACAAGTATTGTAGCTAAAAACTGTATTTCATTTATCATTAAACTTAAATTCCTTCTCTTACCAGGGACACAAAGTCCTTTTTCCTATATACACAGGTCACTTGTGCATCTGAAAAAAAGTACTCTCCCTAATTTAAATTATAAGATTCAGGTGTTCTGGAATACAGCTTAGTGGTAGAGCACTCGAATAGGAAGCTCAAGGTAATGGGATCAAACCCCAGGAATAAAATTAAAAACTAAAAGAGAGAAAGAACAAAAGGAAGCCTTATTTTTCAGTTCATTCTTTCCTAAGAACTTTGTCCACATAAAATGTATACAGAAGGATTTGTGTTTTCTTCTAACATTTTTCTCATTTTGCATTATTTAAAATTAATAATCCATATTGTATCAGGGAATTATTTTTGTGACATAAAAATCCAGCTAGTTTTCTACAAACAATTATTACATATTTCACTGACACATAATTATTTTTCTATGAATATGTTATGTCATCAGTAGCACATTCTAAACTTTTTCAGATATTTGGGTGTTTCTTATTTTATTCTGTTCCACTCATTTATCTGCCTTTTTGTCTATTGGCAAACAATATGTGACAGTTGATGGGGAATTTGGTACATAGACGGGCAAGTTTTTATTACAAACACTTTCTTAGTGTCATCATTATCCTAAGAGATTGTATGTAGAACTCAAAAATGATTAATCTCTGACATTTTTATTTGGTTATTTGAAACTGTTAACCATAGAAAGAGCTCAGACTTTGGTAATAATGAATATTTCTTTTAAAATACACCACACCAGGGTTCAGGCTCTGGCTATTCCAAGTCTCCTGAGAACAAGTCAGAGAAGGGGCATTAGGGCAGCAGCTTGCAGTCTGTGCAGCCTGTGCATACCCTGCCTGCAGTCATCTTGACCCTGGTGACTGAGAGCCTGTACCATTTGGATGCTGTGAACAGATGTTCTGATCTCTGTGCCTAAATAAACAAAAGAACAAGGATGGATAACTACAGAAAATGATACCTGGACAGCATAAATCTGCAGATTTGCATTCAAAGCATTTAGTGAATGTTCCTTAGTGTGGTCAGCCTGAAGGGGTGACAAGATTGAAAACCTACAATGTGCTTTGGAGAATATGAATGCTCCCATGCATGACTTCTATTCTACTGTCTCAGAACTCATTAAAGTTAACTTAGCACTTGCAGAAAAAAAAAAAAAACAGGGATTCTCAATAATCTTGTTAAGAAAATGGTTTGGTCAAGAGACACTGAGAACACATGAACTAGTAAGTAAAGCATATGAGAAGCAAGAAACACATAAAGAGGAGTAGAAGTGGCAACCCTAAGAAAACTAATGTAAAAAACAACTGCAAAACTAAAATCAGTACAGAGAACAAAGAATCATCTGCCCACATCAAAGACCCTTGCAAGGCTGCAGATTAGACAAAATGTAAACATAAGTATATAGCAATAAAGAATAGTGGTGTAATTATATTATGAGTGATTTTTTTATATAGTGAACTTTCCCACCTGGACTATAATATACTTTTTATTTTTTTCTATTTTTTTATTGATTCTTCTTAGTGAGACATAATATTAGGGTTAGGGTTAGGATTAGGGTTAGGGCTAGAGGTAGGGCTAAGGTGGCATAGGCCCAGGCTGGGTGAAGACACAGGTCAGCTGCCTCCAGCCTCAGGCAGATGCTCCTTCTCGCTGACCCTTCCATGTCTTCCCTGGCTCTTTCTCCTAGGCGGCTAGAACAGAATGCACGTCCCCCCTAGGGCAGGACCCAGGGACAGAGGGGTGGACCCAGCAAAGCTCCTAGCCCAGACACTGCCCAGCTTTGGGATGCCCCCAATGTGTCAGGAAGCATGATCCCGCCCCCTGCCGGCCCCTCCCACCACTTCTCAGCCCCCTTAATGGGGTCCTGGCGCCCACTGTGCTCTGTCCCCTTAGTGAGCAGCTCTGCAGTGCTGTCTGGCCAGCCTCCTGAGGGGATATGTCCGCACCAGGGAAACCGGCTAAATTTTGTTTTTGTGTAGCTGCTTAACAAGAGGGTCTGGGTGTCAGACTGACCCAAGGTCTATGGGTACTAGGTGCTAAGGAGTCCCTGAGGTTGTTAAAGCCAAGCATCCAGGTAAAACAAGGCCACCTTTCTGCCCTATCCTCCAGGGAATGGCCTGGATGATGCTGGCTTCTTCTCCATTGGCTCCACCTCCCCCAGTAGGTCCTTTGCACCAGGGGCTGCCGGCCTCTTGGACTCTATTACCTGTTCTTCTTATCTACGTCATTGACATGACAGCTCCCTTGAACAAGGAGATGCCTCACTTCCTCCAAGTCTCCATCCCTGGCAGCTTTGTGTAGGCGGCCTGTGGGATTGTAGCCCACGACCTTAGCTCCCACTTGGATGGCGCCCAGGGTGTTCAGAAAGGTGTTCATCCTTCTCCAGGGGCGAGGGTGGAGCCACCTACTGTGTGAAGAACTGTTGGAAGAGGTAAGTCCCCCATAGGGCAGGATCCAGGCATAGAGGGGCAGACCCGGCACAGGCCCTAAACCTGCTCAGGGATGCCCCCAACTTGTCAGGAGGCTTGTTGCTGCACTCTGCTGCTTCTCAGCCTCTTTGCTGCTGAGGTCCAGGCGCGGCTTCTCTCAGGGCGCCAACCGCCGCAAAAACAGTTGTTGCTCACGCGTGCATGTGCATGCACGTGCACAGGAGTGC